TCAACTGAATTGTTTGCATCTCATTGAATTTGCGGGGTAATACTTGGAGCGATATCATTGATATCGACTTGTATATTCACTACACTACCTTTTAGACCTAACTGTGGATTTAACGCATATGGCTTTAATGCCCGAATTTGCATAAAATTTAATACTGGTGCTACCATCCTTTCTTCAAGATCTGCCAGTTCTGTTACACATTTTGGTATTTGCCTGAACTGGAGACCATTGTTGGTTGAGGATTGATGCACTTATCCACGATATGGCCTGATTATTTATCTGTTGTAGCAGACTGGCCTGATTATTTGTCTGTTGTAGCAGACTGACTGATTACTTGTTTATTTATAATTTTTGTGAGAATGAATGTGTGTGTTAAACTAGAAAATGCTTAATATTGCTTCAGAGATCTCATAATTTCGGAAGCTTCAGAAAATAATCGTTAATTGCTTATATGTTTGAATTTTTGTAATTGCTTGAGTAGTTATTTGAACCAGTAGTTGTTTTGAAAAATTAGTAGTTTGAAATGTTGCTGTTTTCCTGCTGTTCCTTGCTTTCTGCTTTTGGTTGAAGAAATCCATATTGGAATGTGTTGCTAATCTGAGGAATTTTTTTTTGTGTTGAGTTATTTTCAGATACTGAAACCGGGACTGAAATTTTTGTGTGAATGGTTTTATCAAAATTTGTGAAAATTTGAAGATAAAAAATTCGAGTCATACACTGACACTCACACACGTTTGAGGAATGAATTGCATGACTACTCATTACTCTTGTGAATACAACATAGTCGCCAGAGAAATGTAACAAACACTTTTGAAAATTTATCATTCTATAGAATCAAACAAGTGTGTGTAAACCGGGACTGTTCTTCAGCGTCGATTTCTGTGACGTTTAGCTGAAAGAACAGACTGGGGCCCTCCCTATGTGAGATCTTACAACTCGAAAATTTTTAATTCATTACAACTCCCACACTCAAGAAACCTGAAGTTGTAATACCTCAAATAGTCCCCGGTATGATTGCCGGGGCGGCAATCTTTTCGCAGAGGGAAGTAGTGTTGCGTATCCCCCTTCGGATTTCTTTTCTTTTGTCAATGATCTGGGTCGAGACACGCCCCTAGGAAAGACAGTCATTTGTTATCAACATCAAGATTCCTTCTTATCTTTGGAGATCGATCTCACGACATCTTCATCCTGTGTTACTCTTCACCATTTATTAAATAAACCGCCCCAACCATTTTATTTGTTGTGTCCCGTCTTCTTTAATTGAATGCAATAGTATTATGAAGAAGTCCATCAACAGTTCTCAGATCACCGTAATTTGTGGCTCCTCTAACATGCAATAGAAGTGGAGATGATATAATTAAACTTGACTTGGGGATATTGAATACATTCGACCAAGTACATTAAATGATCTTTTTCGGAGTTTCCATTGACCATTGACCCAAGTATAATAATGTGGAATTTCTGTATAAGCATATCGTCTTGCTGTTTCGTCGTATGCATTTAGGTGAAAATATTCAAGAAGTTTATTTGATGAGCGATTCATAGCATTTCTAATGCTTTCTTCATTCATATCAACAGGGAGAATAACGTTTTGCTGATTGAGTAAATGAACTTGAAGATGAACAACAGAATGACTTATTTTTTGGATTTCTTTTCCCAATATGCGCCAAACTGCTTCGTTTGGTTCAACATAACGAGCATCAATAAAATCTTTAATTTCATCATGGTAAATCACATTTCCGACGTCAGGATTATCTCTTGATTCCAATGAATGATTACCTATTTCAAGAGCTGCTCTATCGTGCCCTTTCAATACATATTTGAATAAGTATTTACGTGCATTAACAGATGATACTACTTCTGCATTAATGTGACAATTAAGTATGAGCAGTAATTGAGGATTATATGGTACTATCCATCTATTATCAAATACATACCCACCAGCTTTTTCATAGTACAGACCAGTATTCCGTCTCCGATAAGTTGGATAGGAATCTTCATCTATCGTCGTTTTCTCTTGGAAATTTTTAGGAAACTTTTTTGAGCATTTCCCTTTTATTGACATCACTCACTACATGGTCCGTGAATCATATTTTTTTTGACAATCTCAAACAAAGTGGATGTTAGATAGGATCTGGAATTTCAGCTGAAATAATAGAATCAAGTTTCCCTGGCGTTTTTAATTTATCTCGTAGAGTCACAAGAAAATGTACGTGCAATAAGCCACGTTTCTGGGACTCGATGACGTGCACATGTACAATGGTTCTCCAAAGATTTTCGGATCAACAATTAAATCAATGAGATGTCTTTTCTTCATATAAAAAATGCGGGCTGTTATATCTGCCCTATCTGATGGAGTTTGACCTTTTTTTATACTTTCCCTCATTTCCCTCCAATTGGGATTACAAGTCATTGTTATAGATGAATTGGGCTTCCCAAATTTGCGAACCATAGTCATCGTGTCTTGATAGTTTTGCATCATATATCTCGGCGATCCTGTAAAACTCGATGGTAAGATGATGACTCTTCCAATGCGGTTGATGTCTCTACCTGCGGATGTTTCTAGATAATCCAATAAATTAGTAATTATCAGCACGTAATTTGGATTCAAATGTTTCAATATATTTGAATCGATCTTGTTCAACTTTGACATATTGATCAACAACCCATTGTTGAAATAAACGACGGCCTTGAAGAATGACATTTGTGTCATCATTGTCTCGATCTGCCATGCGAAATTTCGTATAAGCAGCTCTACTCACTTTCTCTCCTTTACCAACAGATTTAAGTTTCGTATGCCATGCTTCAGTAGTGGGGATAAAATAAAGGATAAATCCACCGTTCGACTTTCGGATCTGTAGAACTAATTGTTCTTAATTGTTTAGTATCTTTGTCTCGTACACTGAGATAGGCTTCTGGTATTTCTCCGTCTGCCGTAGTGGAAAAAACAGCACCCACTTCATTGGACCGTTGTGGATTATAACGATTACGATCCAAGTCCAATCTCGAGGTCAATGATAAAAATAATTCTGGTAGAGGTACTTCATTATTCATATCTCTCATTCTATTCTGTTGTCCTTGAACTTCTTCATGCATCATTTGATATGATTCAACGTATGGATTGCAATCGCGCATAGTTGAATTTATTATCTGTAAGACTTCATTATCCAATGACGAATCAGTATTCTGTAGAACATTGATTGTTTCTGCAGAATCAAGTTTGTCCTTGAATTCGAAAACAATAAGGCTCCGGTCGACGATTCGAGTAATTCATTAAATTTGCATTAAATGAAGCAAATGAGAAAGAATTATTGTAATATCTTATTCGGTTGAAGAATTTATTGGATTTGGGGTGGGTTCTATCGAAAAGACGTTTCAAATTCTGTGATATTTTAGGTAATGAGGGTAATTTGACTTTACCATGTTCGCAACATTGATTGGATGAATTTTTCTTTTTACTAATAATTTCGCATTGAAAATATTTGGCTTTACAATGTTGACAAATTTCTGTCATTTTACCCCCATAATGTTCTTCAATTTCATTCAGATTCATAATAGATGTAGTTCTTGTGAATTCAGGATCACTTTATTTCCATGGGAGATTTTATCATCAACATTCACACCACACTGTAGTCCTTGTGAAATTTCCTCTGTTCACATTGTTTGTGGATTATCACATGAAGTAGCGTTCATTTTTCGTACCGATTTTTGCTTTGAATTTAAAGTGATCTTAAACATACCATGATTATCCTTATCTAAAATGTATGAGTTCGATTTATTTTTTCTGCTCGGATTATTAAGAACATTGGAATAGTTTGAGATATTATTGAAAGTATTTGTGGACTCAGAATCGCGATTAGTGGCATCTTTATTGATTTGGACAGTTGCTAAGCGAGAAAACTGATATTCCCATAATTGTATGTTATTTTTAACTCCAACATCCATCAATATGTTTGATTGTTTAGAAGTACACTGTGATTTTTGAGAAGAATCAGTCGGATTTGAAGACAAATTTCCAGCAGCATGTGTAGAGCACTTCGTGTTTGTTAATTCAAGTAATTTTGAGTTGAAACGACCAGAAAATCTTTCATCTGATAAAATTTTCAGACCCATATTTGAAGAATCATTGGATTTAACAAATGCCGATTGAGATACCGTTTTGCATAAATCAACACGTGTCTGCAGCAGTCCATTCGGAGTTGTAAAGATTGTAAAATCTTTAGCTAGTTCTGATGATAAATTTCTAAAAGAATTTGCAGCAATATCTACTGAACGCTCCAATCGGGACAATTTACCTGGTATTGGATGAATTAAGTCGCCAACAAATGTACTGGAAATAATTTTTAAGCTTCCATCATTTTGGAATGATAATTTATGAGATGAAATTCGTTTTCTTGAAACTTTCTCTGGTACTTTAGACACAGGAGAGTTCGTTACTTTTAAAGGCTCTTCTTGTCCAAGACGACTGGGAATGTTAGTTGATTCGAGGTTTACGTGAGTTATTTCTTAAATTGTCTACTGGTTGTCTCTGATTCAAATATGTATTGTCAGTACAAATAGCAAAAGCTTGAGATTTTGTTCTTGACTTTGTTTTAGAATTTTCATTGATAATTCCTACTATATCGTCGTCTTGATAATTTGAATTCTTTGGGATTCATTATGTCGTTTTTTTCCTAATCTATGAAAATATATATATTTTAATGTACGGATCAATTAAAATTGAAAATTAAATTTTACAAATTTTTCTATTAATTTCAATCATTTATTAGAATCTTGTCTAATGTTATAATTTTTTAAGAAAAATAAAATTATCTTATTAATGTTAATATTTTCTTCAACTTCTCATAATTTTTTCATTAGCATCAAAACTTAAATATTAATTTTGTCATTAACAGCACAATTTCGATAAATATTTTCTCATTGATATCAAAATTTTTGTTATAAAATCACTTCATCATCATTTTCTCATTGATATCGAAATTTAATATTTCTCATTGATTCTCTTATTAACAACACATTTTTTCTCATTGGTATTAAAATTTTCACATGTGTATATAACTTTTCACATCACCACCCTGAAACAAAAAAAAATGAATTGATCAGAATTTGCATTCAATATTAGTTTAGTTAGTAATATTATAGACGGGAATTCAAAACTTGGAAAAAAGAAGAAAGATTCGAGAGGGGGAGAGACGCATTATTTGTGGAATTTTTTTTTTGCGCCAATACTAATATTGAAGATTAAGTTTATGCCCAGTAAATTTGATTGAGAAAAAAAAATTCCTGAAATTAAGACAAGAATTGAATAAAATTGAAATGGGGATTTTGTATAGCACAAAATCCCCATTTCAATTTTATTCAATTCTTGTCTTACATCAATTTATTTTCCTCAGGTCCGGTTGCACACCAAGCCTTGTTGAGCAAATAAACTGTAGAGTAAAATTTATCCTCGAGATAAATTATATTCTAAGGATCATATTTTCCTTTCAATTCCAAAGTTTATATCTTCCCTTAACTCACAATTTAGTTAATTGGTGCATTTGGGCCTGAGAGAATGTTCATAAATTTCCAGTAAATTTTTGTAGTAGAAAAAGTTATTCTATTAAATTTTTTCGTTAATGTAAGAAGATTTTTAGAATCAAAAAATTTTGAAATAAATCAAAACTAATTCTGAATGGAAATTTTTCATATTGAAACTCAATTTGAATAATGTATAAATAATCAAAATATATACCTCTCAATTCTCTTTTGCCTAGTTTTCCGTTATTCACCAGGAAATTAAAATTACAGCAAAGAATGTAGAACAACAAACATGAAATCAGAAAATATACATAAACTTGTATATGTTCGAGTAGTAAAACATTAATTTTATTGAAGAATTTTTACTCACATGATCCTCAATTTTAACTCCTTCTGATCATAAAAGCACTGTTCTGTAGATAATGATAATAATGAATGACAAAATGACTGGAGACTTAATCAAAACACTGATATCAGATCAATAAATTATAATCAATAAACACCGGAGAACACGATTTATTAGAGTCACAACTCAAAATCATTCATTATTTATTTTGAACACTAAACAACACAATTTATAGATTAAAAACACACATAACAAAATGATTTTCACAATTTTCTGTGAATTTTTCAAACTTTTTTACACCACAAAATTTTAGCTTCAATTAGCGTAACCACCATTTATAAACTATTAACCCAGTGGCTTGGCGCAGTAGGTAAATTTGTTGCCTCACATGCGAAAGGGTCAGAGTTCAAATTCCGGCCGGGTAGAATGGTGCGATCTAACCATTTAAAGTCTTGATTATCATCGCAGTATACCCTAACCGGGTGGAAGCGATGTAAAATAATGCTAAAAAAATTTTATCAACTGTTATGGTTATAATTATTTTTTCGTCAATCAATCAATCATCATCAATTCAATGACAGAGGAAAAATTTACCAGATAAATCGCAACATTGTATCGATTTTTCATTAATCGAAAAAAAACAATCGATTGATCGATAATCGCATTTTAATTTACAATACAATATCCCTAGGTTCTCTTTTAATATATTAGATTCAATTCTCGTCTCGATACCTGAAAATCGAAAACAAATGACAAAAAACCTTGCTCTTTTAATCATAAGACAGAAACCAAAAAAATTTTTTTTTTGAAAAAACCGGCCAAGTGCGCCTTTGTAAACATTCTATTTTTCAAAAAAAAAAAAAAAATTGTATTGTTTCTCACAAAACAAATTGAAAAAATGTCGAGGAACCATTTCAATGCGTTGTTGTGGAAAAATGCCCGAGTACTTATTTATGGATAGTTGTTTCTGGGAAATTGAAAAAAGTGCAGAAATAAGGAAGAGGGCCAAGTTCATGAAGTTGAACTTGTCATTTTGAAAAACCACAGAATTTTTCATAACATCTAGAAACAATTTCAGCTTTTTTCTACAGTTGGCTTATACTGTTGCAAATTTTATAAATTTGAACTCATCAATGCCAACTCAATATTGTCTATTCCTGTGAGTTACGGAGTGGGTACGACCAAGCATTTTAAGCTAGGAGAGCCAAATCAACACAATCAAGAAATGTTGACTGTATTTGAAAGCTTACGTTTGTTGCTCATTTGTTGCACAAAAAAAATTTTTTTTGCTCTTATAGTTTTTTTTTAATGGCTGTGCTAGCTTTTTAAAAGCTAGCACACCCAATATATAAATCATAATATCAATTGAATAGCAGAGGTGTACAAACTCTGAAAATTTATAAATATAAGCAACAAATGAGTCAAGTATGTACACCCCTAAAATTATTAAAATTTCGCCGTTCAATAATAACAAACAAACTATCGAGTAAGATCAGGTGTACAAACTTCAAAAATTCTTCAACAAAAGCTGTACAAACTTCGAAATGAGGTCTGCCCTGACGTAAGGACCCTTACGAAGGTTTCTACACCCCCTCGCAAGGATGGATTCCCTCGTTTTCCGGACGAATTTAATTGAAAATTTGTGTTCGAACACTGGCTTGATGACCAAGTAGCAGGGGTAGGTGTATAAACTTGCGAATGATGTCTGCCCTGAAGTGAGGGCCGTTACGAAGTTTGTACACCTTGCGGGAGCGAGAAACACACTCCTTTTACAAACTAGTCTAATTGAATATTTTCGTTTGAACACTGCCTTGTTCACTAAACAGTAGGGGTTACTGTACAAACTTCAAAATGACGTCCGCTCTGAAGGGAAGGCCCTTGTAAAATTTGTACACCCTTCCTGAGTGGACGAGTCACCATTTCCGTTAACGAGGCTAACCTGACATTTCTCGTGGAACACTGTTTTGTTCGCTAAGCGGAAAGGGCAGGTGTAAAAACCTTGAAATGAAGTTCGCGTTGAAGTAACGACCCTTGCGAAGTTTGTACACTTTCTCGTGAGGGAGGAATTGACTCCTTTTCCAGAAAAATCCAAATGAATATTTTTGTTGGAAAACTATCTTGTTCGCCAAACAACAAGGGTAGGTGTACAAACTTCGAAATGGGGTCTGCCGTGAAGTGCCGGCCCTTACGAAGTTTGTACACCTTCCGGGAGCGAGAAAGAGTGTACAAACTTTACAAAGGCTTTCCCTTCAGGGCGGACCTCATTTTGAAGTTTGTACAGTAACCCCTGTTGTTTAGTGAACAAGGCAGTGTTCAAAGGAAAATATTTAATTGGATTAGTTTGTAAAAGTAGTGTTTCTTGCTCTCTGGAGGTGTACAAACCTCGTAACGGCCCTCACGTCAGGGCAGACCTCATTTGCAAGTTTTTACACCAAACTCTGCTGCTTGGTAATCGAGCCAGTTTTCGAACACAAATTTCCAATTAGATTCGTGCGGAAAACGAGTGAGTCCATCCTTGCGAGGGGGTGTACAAACTTCGCAAGGATCCTTACGTCAGGGCAGACCTCATTTCGAAGTTTGTACAGCTTTTGTTGGATAATTTTTCAAGTTTGTACATCTGATCTTACTCGATAGTTTTTTTATTATTATTGAACTGCGAAATTTTTATAATTTTAGGGGTGTACATACTCGAGACTCATTTTTTGCTTATATTTATAGATTTTTAGAGTTTGTACACCTCCCCTATTCAATTGGTATTACGATTTATATATTGGCTGTGCTAGCTTTTAAAAAGCAAGCTATAACAGCAAAAAAATTTTTTTTTGCGCAACAAATGAGCATCAAACGTAAGCTTTTAAATGCAGTCAACTTTTTTTGATTGTGCTGATTTGGCTGTGCTAGCTTAAAATGCCTTGTACGACCATGAAAAGTGTGGTTATCAACACAAAGTCAATGAAAAAGAGTGTCAATACGAGTGTTTCTTTAAAAAAAAAAATTGTTCAGAAAATTCGGACCAACGTACTTAGCGCGGTTTTCTATCTTAATGCGGATCCTTATTTGGGAGTCTATTGTTTGAGATTTGAGATTCACTTTGGGACTCAGAAATTGCGTTGAAGCATACTACACCTTGCTAGGTGTTGTAACATGATTTTTCCATGGGGGAGGAAAAACCCGTTAACTCACCCTTTTCCCTAGATCCGATACTCAAAAAACTTATTGTTGGGCGCCAGCCGCCTTTTGCTCGGAGACGACAAACCGAATACAAACGAAGCGGAAGACTTTCGAGAGAACCTCAATTTTCCAAACCTTAAAGATAACCAAAAACGTACTTAATTGACAGAAAGGGACGGACAGGATCTGGGGAAGGTGTTGGATTCCCGCGCTGCTCAGGGGGTTGGTTGTGGAGAGAGGGGTAGGTCGAGATGGTAAACGGATGTTATCAGGCATAATTCTAAAATAAATACGCAAAACACTGAACTTAATGCTGAAATGTAGGGTGGTATATTACTCAAAAAAAAATGATACACAGGAAATGAATCTCAAAACTCAAATCCATGAACTCAATTAATCAGGAAAACTCAATAACTCAATTTATCCTGAGAGTGAGAGAGAAAATATTCTTATCTCAAAAAAAAAAAATAATCAATACATGTAACGCGAAATACGCAGAAAAAGACCCAAATTTTGTTCGATAAAAATAAAGGAAACTAATAAAAAAAAATCAAATCAATTGAAAGAAACGTGAGAGGAAACTAATTAAACCTCTAAAAGGAATCCGCCTCGAAATGACGACGCAAAGACAAAAAAATTAGAGAGAATAATCGTTACTAAAATCAACCCTAATTCGCTTCACAGAGCATCAAGGAATTCCCAAAAAGCCGCAGAAATAACTGCAAAAATCCTTACAAAATCTATGGCGAAAACGCAATTATCCTATCCTAAAATCTCTAATAATTCCTCTAAACATTAGTGGCTTCTCGTGAGCATAAAACATAAATACATGTGACTAATACGCCGGATGCGGCATTTGGGCATACCGATGCACGACCTTGAGTCTAAAACGCAGAAAACTGCACGAAGTTCTTCACTAAAAATTCCGAAACTCCTAAGATTCTCCATAATCTAATTAAATCCCCTAATTCACTAATTCAACGAGCGTTATTAACGCAAAAATCCTATCAACTGACCGAACATCGCGTGTTTCCTACTCCGATGTTACCTGCTCGACGGGCCACGCAAAACTCTCTCGCTAACACTTAGCACTGACTTGACAACCGCAAATTCTGATTCCCGAAATCCCAATTGCACGGAAATAGAAAGAGATGGCCGTATCGGACGGCAAGGACGCAAAATAACGCCATTGGCACGTGGCACCTTTTTGTCAAAAACCCGAAATTTTCCTAATTAACCGCGTGATTTAGGCTCTACCGCACAGAGCAATTAACCCGAAAACATTATAAAATCCTAATGCCCTTCTGAGATGAGGAACCATGAGAAATCATGCACAAATCCCGCCACTGAATATATGAGGCAAAAACTCACCGGCAACTGCACGACAAAATTACTCCTCCTCGGCGTCAATCCGCAAAAACCCTCCAAAACAACACTAAACCTCACTTTTGTCCTATTCTAACACTCCAAAAACCTTCCCGAACAGTTTATCTTCCTCCTTCAACACAAAAAAATTCTCCAAACTAACAATTTCCCGTGATAACACGATTTTTATTTCGCAATAATTGAGCACGTGTGGAACGGTAATCGATACTGGCGTCAATGGCCGGCGCGCGGACGGACGTGGTTGCAGCGCTCGAAGTGCCACCGACCACGTGCGTTCGTATTGCGCAATCCTAACGAGGCCGGTAACGGCAGAATTCTACTTTTACCCGGATAATTCAAAATAACGAAGTTTGATGACTTAAATGATTCTAATGACTTTAATGGGGTTTTACGAGCGGTTCTAGACTCGAAATAAATTCTAATAATTATAATATCCTCTCCGGGGTCGTATTCTCGGGATTTTTGGAATAAAGTGATTAATATCACAATAATTCTAAACTAACTTATTCCCTAAATTATCTAACCAACCCTAAATCGACCATGACAATCCAGAGGGGTTTCTAGGGTCGCTCTAGTCCCTCTGGCCTTTCACCCAAAACGGAAACGAAAACTCACTTCATCCCAAAAATCCCTAATTTGAGCGGCGATATTTCAATCGCACCTACACATTCCCCCGAAGACTCAAAACAAAGGGAAAATCCTCAAAAATAAACGCGCAGCTCGGTAATATCGGCCTATGACACGTAAACTTAATCAGCCCTATATAATTAAATTTATTTAACCCCATAAT